GGGATGTGGGTATCATTTCTTCCATTCCTCCGGACTCAGGCAACGCTGGAATACATCCAGAGGGAACAGGGAGGAATCTCCTACTAGAGGAGGAATAATTCTAAACTTTCCAGGTGTAGAGAGCATGCTTCATACTGTGGTCGGTTCTAGCCCCTGAAACAAAACAGGGGACCTGGGATTGGTTCTGACTCTGTGTGTGCTGGGCTCTCTGCACTGAGCTTCCTCTCACAAGGCTGTCATGGCTTGGCTCTTCCTCACGTGAGCTTTCTTGCCCCTCACTCTTCCCAAGGTCACTGCTGGGAGGAATGGGGGTGGGGGTGGGGGCAGAGACAAAGAATGGCCTGCCCTTCCCTGCATCCTGGAGGAAGATAGCAGGCACAAAAGAGCGATCGCTAGTGGGGGCCACACCCCCAGGAAGAGAAAACCAGGAAAGACTGCTGTGTGTTTATAAAACTTGGGAGCAGCTGCTTCCTCTCCTGAACCCACAGCCATGGCTGACTAGCCCTCCTCTGACCCCTCCCAGTGCCCCCCTAATTTACCATCTGTTGGAGGGTCAGTAAGGAGGTGACCAGATAATGCAAGTTTTCACCAGACAGGAAATGAACCGATGTCCGCCCTCCATTCCACTGCCTGGTTGAATCCAGGTATAGGGTTTGAGTCTTTGGTAGGGGGAGCTGCAGAGCTGTGCAGGTAAGAAGAGCAGGGCTCAGTGTAGCAGCGTTTGACTGGGTTTGTCCGTTTGTCTGGGAATGCCTCCATTTCTGTGCTCTGGGTGTGTCTGAGCTGTTGCCTTCTGCCTTGTTCCTCCATCCCCATCCGGCAAAGGTATGCCTTGGTGTGCTGTCCTATCTGATTGAGTTTGGTCCAGCATCTATGCTGAGTCCCGGGCACTGTGTAGACTGTGTTACATCAGGTCCCATAGTCTTTGCTTTCTGGAAGGCATTCAGTTAGGGAGCAAACTAAACCCACTTTCCTTGGGCATGCTGCTTTAATCTACACAAACCTGTTCACTATGACAAAACCAACCTCCACAGACTTGGATGAAAGTGCTGACTATCAGCCTTGCTGCCCGAGGCTTTGCAGGGGCTGAACCATGATTAGAGCATCACACAGAACCACTGAGGTGCTTAATGGTGATTCCCAAATTTAGGGCATGGCTGGGGAGATTGCTCCATCTGAAAGCACAGGCCCAACTCAGTTACACAGGTAACATCCCCCAGAATCATCTCTGGAAAGAGATGGAAGAGCTGCAAGACCTCCGAAGAACTTAGGCTCAGGGGAAATCCCACCTAAGGCCACAGCTGATTTATCATTCATGATTTCCCCAACACTGATCAAGCCACCGATAAACATCAGTTACCACACAAGAACCCAGAATAACCACAAGATTAAGCTGTGGATTCTGCTATTAAGGCTCTGGCAATCTAGTTGAAAAGACAGACGCATGAGCAGGTAACTGACAGAAGAGGACAAAGCCATTTGCAAAACTTGGGAGGGGGACACTAAAAGAAAGCTGGGCAGTTCTTCCTTCAGGGACTAGGGGAGGTGTGGCAGGGTGAGCTAAACACTGGTCCCTCCAATGTACCCAGAACCCACTCTCCAGACCTGTAACGATAACTACCTCACACCTGACGAGAAACAGACTTTGCTGATGAGATTAAGGTAAGCCTGTGGGAATGGACACATGACCCTGGGTTATCAATGTAATCAAAAGCCTGGGGAGGTTCAGGCAGAGGAAGAGGCCACACACCAGGGAACACAGGTAGCTATAAAAGGCAAGGAAAACTGACTCTCCCTATGGCCTCTCCAGGGAACACAGCCTTTCCACACCTTGATTATAGTCTAGTGAGACTCACTTTTGATTCCTAACTCCCAGGACCTTAAGAAAACATCTGTGCTGTAGATAAGGGATTACTTGTTATAGCAGCTACTGGTGACTCAAACATGAGGTTTCACCAGAGATGAAGTGGACTGTGCCCTATCAAAAGGAGCTGGACGATATCTAGGGTAAAGGCTCGGGGTTATAAAAGAAAAAGTGTGACATGCTCACAGGTGAGGGAGTGCTGGGTCAGTGCACATCAGGTCTTAGGATTGTTGGCTTTATGTCAGTCAGCTCTGGCTTCTCTACTTTTTCTCTGTGCGCCTTAATCCTTTTTGATTCCTCTGTTCTCATCTTAAATGAAAGCAGTTTCCACAAACAGCGAGCATGCCACAGTCATCAGCAAACCCACACATACCTGCTTGGGCAGCCAAAGGCTTTAGAGGCTTGGAAGCAGAGGTTTTCTGGCAGGGGGCAGAATGGATTCTGAGCATCTTGGCACCCTGTGGCTTATGTAAGTGTTATGTGCTGTATCTCTCTGGAACCCTCTCACCCAGGAAGACATTTCTGTATGTCAAGAATCTTGACTGCCTTGTGGCACACACCTTTAATCCCAACACTCAGGAGACAGGGGCAGGTAGATCTCCATGAGTTTGAAGCCAAGTTGCAGGCCAGCCAGAATTACATGGTAGGATCCTGTCTCAAAATAATAATAATAAAATACAAAAACAACAAGCAAACAAATAAAAATATATGCCACATTCATAAGAAAGAAGAGCACTTGTTTTCTCCAGGATTCTCTGATCTTAAGGGACACCTCTATCATATGGTATAAGGGAGCAGAGGGCAGAGACTACAGCCTAGAATAAATGCCCTTCACCACCCTGGCGGGCCCCGGGCCTGGATACCCAGTGTCCCTTCGAGACACCCCTTTGAGCGCCAGCATCTCTGACTCAGTGCAGCGGCTGGAGGTTCGTGTCTGTCCTTTCTTGTAATCAACACCAGGACCACACAACCTGGCATCTCTCAGTGGGAAAGGACACACTGGCTTCCTTTCTCCCTGCTGAGTAGTCCCAAACTCTCACACTGAGCAGCCAGCCACAGCTTCCAGAGAATTCTCTGCTCTGGCCTGTCAGACAGTTTAAGCAAAACAAATCACTCAGTAAGTGCTGTGCTTCCAAGCTTGTGGGACCAGGAGCTCCTGGCTACGTACCAGGTGGAGTTAGGTATCTAAAGAAAAATGGCTAATGATAACAGGTCCCTGCCACCCCATGTTGACAGGTAAGGGATTTGTTACGTCTTCCCAAACTGGCTATTTACTTGGTGAAGAGAAACTTCCAGACTCAACTTCCAGACTCCGGATCAGCCCAAGGCTTGGGAAGGCCCCTACAACACCCTTAAATGACACTCTCTAAACAGCTGTCTACCCAATTTCTGCCTGGGGTAGATCTGGCTTGGCCTGGTGTCTGGTGCCCTTCCCCCGGTGGCCAAGCACAGAGGACATGGCTGTGAGTCATTCTCAGAGCAGCTTCTTTGGCCTTGGGTGACCTAAGACATCTCTCCAAGTTGCCTCATCTGTGCGGTGGCCCCATGTGCCTAAAAGGAGTCACAGGGCAAAGTACCCAAAGAGGTGCCAACAAACAGTAGGCGCTTCACAGTCTCCGGGTTCGAATTCTCAGCCCAAGGTACAGACAATAAGAGCCAAACAGGATAACGGCAAACTCCCAGATTTCCTACTGGAGACCAAGCCTTCATCCTCCCGAATTCTGTCTTAATTGCTCGCAGCCAGCACTCTGGAGTTGTAGTATAAAAAGAGAGGAAGGCTAGGAATGATCCCCCACACCTTTTAATTTTTGTAATTGGGGGTAAGGGAGACTCCAATTAGGGCAGTGGCGCCCACGCAAGAAGGCCAGCAGCAGGCCCCATGGGCTGCCCTCCTGCTGAGAGCAAAGCTCAGAAGGGTGCAGGCAACAAAGAGTTACCTTGAGTGGGAACACCCACCCCCATGCTGTCATCACATATTAAAGGACCAGGCACCAGGAGACAAGCTAGAGGGTGACAGCTGCTCTGGGTAACAATTGGCTCTCCTAATTTGCTTTCTCTTCTGGAGAGAAAGGCACACACACACACACACACACACACACACACACACACACACAGAGAGAGAGAGAGAGAGAGAGAGAGAGAGAGAGAGAGAGTATGTGTATCCTGAAGAAGAGAGAGTGAGTGTGTTTGTCCATAAGGACAGTAGTCTAGCTAGGAATCAAACACCTAAGCTGGTAGGTAGGTCAGGTCCTTCTTTTGTCATAGTGTCCACCTTGAGCACCTTCAAACGGGTCTCTGTGTTGCTGACCAACTGTGTCCAACCTTTGCAGACCTGCTGAGCCCCCGTCCCTGTGTTTACTGTAGTCCTACATTGCCCTCAGGACTACAGGATGGGGGTGAGCACCTTGAAGAAGGGCTCAAGAAGGCTTAATACCAAAGCTTGTGCACACTCATCAACTGGAATACAAGAGGCAGAAAGATGGAGGCTCATACATGTGGAAAGCCTGAATTCCCCTTCACTGAGAATCAGAAAGAAACACATACAAAAGCAATCCATGTGTTTGGGGATAGGGGGGGTCATCCAACTTGTGGCCCACCCCAAGTTCAGTCTCTACGGAGCTTCGATGACATGCAAGGTCCTTAGTCAGGGAAGAGCTTCTCCTTCAGCAAAGCTTCATTTCTCCAGTCAACATAGACCAAGGTCCCTGGAGATCACAGACGGGTGGAGGGACTTCCCAAGAAGCAGAGAACAGCCCCTGACTAACCAGTGTCCACCAAAGCAGTGCATGCACAAGCAGGCTGTGTCAGGAGACTACCATTCTGCCAGTCACTCACGTGTGCTTGTGCAACTTTCTACTGTCTACTGTTCTCATATACAGAAGAAGCTGGACAAGATCTAAGCTGTCTTCTAATTGTAGCCTTCTACAAGCCAAAACCCTGTGCTCATGGAGAAGAGGATTCACAGACCCTGTCAAACGATTCTCATCTACTGATGGGGTCCTGGAGCCCAAGGCTCTTGGGACATTAAGAAGAGAATAGAAATGAAGACTCCACAGCTTTAGTCACTGAGCTGGAAACATTTAATAAGCGTCAGTTCAGACCTCTGTATGCATGCTAAGGACAAAGAGCTACTTACTATGCAGCAGGCCACCAGAGCTCCTTGGGCAAATCCTGCCAGGACATCACTGGGGTGGTGTTTGTAGTCAGAAACACGTGAAAGTCCCGTGTAGAAGGCCATCATGAGCAAAGTGAACTGCAGGAGGGGCCGGAGCAGGCGGGCCCCTCTCCAGGTGAATCGGGCCTGTAGGTATAGCTGAAGGAAAGAGAAAAAGAGGCTAAATGACTTCTCATTCACAGACGCTAGAACACTGGACCAGCATGCTCTACATTTTTGCTAAATGGAACCATCTAGACTTGATGCAGCATCCTGTGGATAGAGTACAGCACTTAACGTGATACCTCCCAGGATCTTTAGTTTTTATAGTATAAAAATTTTGAGTTTATTTTATAGGGATAAGCTAAAGAGACTGGAGTAAGATAGTACCTATGAATGTTTTTTTTACTCTAAACACACAGTAAGTATTTAATCGATGTAATTTTCCTCTTATCTTATGTATCTACACTACTTAGAGAACATTAACAAGGCCTACAAAGGCTTTGTTTCTGGACTGATAGTTTACTTAACGCATTTGTGAGTTTTCTCAGGGATTACAGCTGCATCGTCCCTAGGGACCAGCAATTCACTGCCACAGCAATGAAATACCAATGAGGCATTGAGTGTGTTGCTCTGACACACCCAGCAAGGGGATGTTTCTGGTTTGAAAGAAAGCAACTCTATCCAAGAGAAGTTTCCAAGTCACCAGTAGGAACCTGGACTTTGAATTATCGAAGGAGGAAACATAATTCAGCCAGACAATAACAGAGAACTTTAAAGGGGAGGTTGACAGAGACTGCCCTGGTTATGTAGAATAACCTGAAGAAAAATGGAAGAAAAAGACAAGGGGGGCAAAAAACCACTCCAAACACCACCTCTGGCCCAAGGAAAGTTGAAATGACGTCAACTGGGTATTGTCCCCTTTGGAGTTATCTTGCTAGAGTTTCCGCTTTAACCTCAGGGCACAACCTACTTCCCAGGTTCCTGTGGGAACTTGGGAAATGAGAGGGAAGAAGGAAGAGGAACAAGGGGAACTTCCGACTACAAATCAAAGCAGGGGAGAGGCCAGGAGAAGGGAAGAGCAGAGGGAGGGGCTGACACGAGGAAGACTTGGGGCAAAGGCCAGACCTCCCTTCCAGAGACAATGGGGCACTTTCCTTTTGGGAGTCAGGAAGGAGTATGCCAAGAGCCAGGAGGCCAGGCTGAAGGGATAGAGAATGGAAGATCCCAGAGGCACTTTGGGCTGTGCAGAAGCTGTACCTGGGACAGAATCCTCAACTACTTAAGAAATACAAAGCCACCCACAGAAATACAGCAGGTGGCTCTACCATCATTTGGACACAATGAGTGTAATATTAGGAGTAAGGGACATACGGACGGACACTTTGAATGGACAGCTAGAATCTTCATGTATAAGAACAACGAAATGTATAAATTCAATTAAGAGTGTGATAAACATTCTAGACCACCTGGAGGATAAAACTAGAAATTTCATTCTCAAGGGGAAATCCCAAAGAACAGAATCATAGACCGGTAGGTACTGATGACAGGTGCTAAGGACAAAGAAATGGGAAGTAAGTATTCCAATGTGTCTTACAGCTAGCATAAGGCAGAGGGCGGCTAGGGTCATTGCCAAGGGCTAAGGATGTGGGCTTGAACCATCAAGACGGAAGACTCTCTGATGGGAGATATGGGGGAATGGTGAGAGCTGTGAGGGCAGTCCTTCCACAATCCAGCATAGCTGAAGACGGGGTTTAAGGTGGCAGAAGGCCTTGGGGGTCAAGCCAGTGAACCTGCTCTGTTCTGGGCAGCCCAACGTCTCTCAAACTGTATTCCAGGGAACGACAAGGGTCTGACAACATTGGTGAATGCTCTGTACTAAACCCTTGACTATAAAATTATCAAAGGCTTTGAGTCCTTCAGAGTAAAAGCTGCACTTAGCCTGAAATTGCTTATTTTAAAGAATACCTATCTACTGGAAGAAAAACACTGGAAACTATAGAATCTGGTTTTCATCAAGGCACCAGGTTTGAGTAAAAAGATTCTAGATGCTTCGTAAGGAGACTAGGCAGAGCTGAGTTCCCATAGGCAGTGTAACTGTCATCGTGGCTACTCAGGCTTTAGGCTACTTCCTTCTTTATGCTGCAATATTCTAATATCACGACCCAAAGGACCCTTCCTTTAGCCCAGCATGGTGCCTATGATCCAAGCAGAAAGCCCAGGCAAGCGGATTGGTGAGTTTCAGAGCTGCCTGGACTACATAATGTCTCACTACGGAAGTGGTGAGACTCCCATATTATGTTGGTCTCTCTGCAACCAAAAACAAGTTCAAGGAAGAAGGGACATTCTAGGTGTCCACTGAGGTTTCTCTTCCTCCAGCTACTCTTGGAGGTGGACAGGAGAGGGGTGGGTAACGGAAAGAGCGCAGGCTTTAATCAGAAAGCCCTCAGGGAGCCTCAGTTTCCTCTCAGATGGGGAGTGATAACTTATCCACTGTCTTCGAAGCTGTGGTTGGTGGGCTGCACAGATAGAGGACATTGCACACTGTACAAACTCAGAGTTTATTCTTTAAGTACTTTTCTTTAAGCAGGTCTAAGATCTCTCAGCCTCCTTCACTGAAAAAGCTGCAGACCTCGGAGAGCACTTTTGCAGAAAGAATCTCACCCTTCCCTTGCTTGCTGCCTGCAGACTTAGGTCACAGGCGTTGGAAACCAGGGTGGGGCAGAGGAAGGGTGGGCTTCCCAACCGGACAAGGCTACATCTCCCCTGCCACTGACTCAGAGGCTTCGGGCTGGGGCTCCAGAGAAGAAGGAAAAATAAAAAAATTCATACAGGAGCGGAACTTGGGGAGGAGACAGGCATCAGAATAGCTCCAGGAAGGGAATGCTTGTGAATGAGACCCAAGTATGGGCCATGGGAAAAAAATTCCTCACGCAGACTGGGAATGACAGGCAGCAGATGTAAGCAACAGCCAGCATTGCTTTCACATCCATCAGGAATCAGAACACCACAGAGCAATAAGCCTCATGGTCAGGAATGGCCCCGCTGTCCACGATGGAGACACCCCTTTGCCTTGACATATGAGTTAGTCGATAACTGTGACAATCTTTCCAAAACCAATAAATTACCAAAGAAAGACCTTGTGCAGTGACCTTTGACCCAATGCCTGCCTTTGATCAGCAGTTAGTCAGGCAGTGGCAAGTAGGCTCTGTACGATCCCACACACTTTGTCCGATGCCACCGCTAAATGGATGAGATGCTCCTGGTGCCTAGCCCAGTTCACAAGAGCCAACTCAGGACTGGGTCGGGCCTCAAGAGGTTCTCTGGAGCCTAGGGGCAGTATCTCTGGGGGCTCTGCTCATTCCCAGTTCATGGTACATTAAAGAGGACATTAAACCCCACTGACCGTAGGGTTGCTATGCATGCCTCTGACCCTGAACCAAAACAGACTCTCCAAAACAGTATCAGAGAGAGCCTGCCGGAGCTTCCACAAGGTCTTCAGCACTCAAAGTAATAATAATAATAATAATAATAATAATAATAACAACAACAACAACAACAACAACAACAACAATAATAAATTGTTACTTAGGAAAGGAATGATGAGAGCTGGACAAAAACAGTTACTTCGATCACATCCAATCTGCTCCTGACATCCAATCCTGCTTTTGTTTGTTTCGCTATGTGAAGGACTCCGGCCTGGAGAATTGGTACTCAGAAACCACTGGCTAAGCACTATTGGGGCACTGTGCAAGAGCCGAGTTCTGCAGTGAGAACAGCCAGATTTCACATGCGGGCCCCTGCTGAGTCACTCTGCCTACCTCCCCGCCCCCGAGACAGGGTTTCTCGGTGTAGCCTTGGCTGTCCTGGACTCACTTTGTAAGCAGCCTGGCCTGGAACTCACAGCGATCCACCTGCCTCTGCCTCCCTGAGTGCTGGGATTAACAGGTGTGCGCCACCCTGCCAGGCTTTACTCTGCTTTTCTTGAAATGTGCTCAGTTTTTAAAAAATGCTGCAAGGGTGTATTGTGCTCAAAAGCTGGAAAGATACCTACCAGTGAGTTCTGTTGTTAAAAAATGGTGGTTCTCTCTCTGCACTCCCCCCCACCCCCCGCTTTTCTATCTCCCTCTGCAAGGTGACTTCTCCATTCCTTTGGAACTGGCGAACCCACCCAAGAGCTGCCCCAATAAACCTGCCTTTACCATACTTTAATTCGGCTTGAACTGGCTCATTTCTTCGGCAGCGAAAACCTATCAAAAATAACAGTAATAACAGTAGCCCTGCGCCTTAACAATTTTCCTTGCTGGTGCTAAGATTGGGCTTTCATTGCTGAAACAGAACTGCTGGTTGGGGATGTGAGGAGGGTTACGTTAAGAGGGGCCTGTGTGCCTACCCTCCCCGACGGAATGCGTATGGAGCCTTGGCATCCACATCATACTCCATAAATGGAACTCTGTCCCTGGTCCTAGCTTCAAAACTGGGATCCTATAGAAATGGAATCCCAACAAGACCCCCCCTCCTTATACTGAGTTCCAGCCTGCTGCCGTCTACCTGCCCTGCGTGCGCCATGCTCTTAGGCTCTCTAATTCTTGCTAAGTCACTGGTGGTGCACGCTGTGATTTGCATAGTGGAGAAACAGGTTTGTACAGTCCTCCCCCTTCTTTTCCATTGCTCTCGGGACAGGTGGGCCAGGAGTGAAGAGGTAGCTTTTGTCCTCCGATGGGTCCTGGGCTCTTTCCGGGAGGCAGGATAGGTCAGCCACACCCAAAGAGTGAGAAATTTTATCTCCAGTCTCCTCCTCGGCTCCCCCACCCCACCCTGGCCCTGGCTCCTGCGCCTGGCAGAAGGCCACATGATGTAAGCCAGTTTCCCTCCGTAGAGTGATTTAACTGCTTTGAAGACAAAAGAATTTTTTTTACTTGACACTTTCTTCCTTTCCAGAAAAATCAAATCTCCTTTTCCATCACTATCAAGGGAAGGAAAAGAAAAGACCATTCTGCCAAGGACTGAGTTAGACACTGAGCTAGATGCTTAACCACCTTCGACCGCCACAAACATCACGATAGGTGCATCTCAGGTTGCCCATGGCACAGATGAAGAGATGGAGGCAGAAGAGGCCATGATGCTCAAGGCAACAGGGAACTCTGAATTAACCGGAA